CTAGGACAGAATAAGGACTTTGGAAAGCAACATCAGACATAATAATTTATATTAGATTTAAGAAATTACATCAGACATATTAATTACACAGTCATTAGTTCAAAATATTTCAAATCAGAATACTAGAAGTAATTAAAAAAAAAACCTAAAAACATTTAAAAATGCACAATGATCTCCATTTGGATACATGAGTTTTACCAACAGTAGATGTTTACCTTCCTTTGTGTTTTTGCCAAAATTTATCAGCAGCAGTGAGATCATAGCTCTTCTGGTTTTTCTTTTTTGGCCGTGCTCCAGCTGGGCTGGCCTCTAACCCTTGAGACTCCTCCACACTGACCCGGTTCAGGTGGAAGTCCTGATATAGGGGATATATTGGTTAGGCAAGGCAAAATAACTGAATCAAAACACAATACAGGACCTAAAATAACACACATGCCAGCCTTTATTAATACAGAATAAAATCCCTCAGAGTACAGCTGCCATACAGGGAATTGAGACGATATTAAGGCAGAAGCAGTTTTGAGACGGTGGAAAAAATACCCAAAGGATTAATGATCATTGGCACAAAAAGCAACCCAGCACGTACATTCCACATTTCATGAAACCCCTTTGTCATCCATATGATAACTGCGATAGCTTCATCTTTCCATATATGCCACAACTTGGAACTATTTGCAGTTTCCATTTTGGGAAATAAATTACATTTAACACTAGTAGAAAAAAAAAGGAGAAATGAATTAACTGTGGGTCACACAAGTTTATTTTAGGTTCTGCTCACCAGCACATCATGAATGAGAGCCTGATACGTCCATGTGTGGTGGAGAGGAGTCGCTAGATCCAGGTTACGATCGGCAAGAACAAACAGTGGCCTCTGAAAACTGTGGGAGTGATGAAGGGAAAGAAGGGATATTTTTATGGCCCGATACTAAAACATTTCTCAACGTTCTAAATCTTTCTTAAAGTGTCCCAGTTAAGGACACTTGACTGTCTATCTCTCTATCTATCTGTCTGTCTGTCTGTCTGTCTTTCTGTCTGTCTGTCTGTCTGTCTGTCCATCCATCCATCTGGAGGTATTTGTTTTGGATTAGGAGTTTACAATAATAATTTTAAGATCAAAGATTTATAGCTTAAACAAGTATACTCTCTTAAAATCAGTCGTATGTAGGTGTGCAAGACTGTGTGTTTTTGCTCCACCTGAACTGGCCAGTGCCCATGGTGTCTCCGGTGAACAGGCTGTTACGAGCGTCTCGCAGATTCTCTCTCAGTTTCTTGTCAAGTTTCTGAGAAAAAAAAAAAAAGGTTAAATCAATGTTATTAATATTCCATTAGAAAAAAGTTGTACAATATGTATAAAATAAATTAATCCAATAAACTGAGCAACAGGTGTTAATTTTGTCTCATATTACAGTGAGACATTCCTTTGCTGAAACTAATCATCTAAAACTCAGCACTGAAAGCAAGCCGAGGTTGGACCGAATCCCACATATGGAACAAAGAGGAATTTTGTGCCAGTGAAACTGAATTAAGCTACAGTATCAGTTTGCACATTGTGCACAGACTATGAAATGTACAAATGCACTGTAATGCAGAGATTAGTGTAGGGATTGAGGTGATAATCAAATGACCAAAGCCACTCTATAACACTCTATTCTAGAATTCATAAATTCGAAAAGAAGACAAAGGTGTTTCAGACTGGTCATAAAGAAAGTATCAGAGGAACATTAAAAAACAGAGCAGTGAGTCTCTTACCACGGCTACCATTTCAGCAGCATTCCCTCTTGGACATCGGATTATTGGGACAGCACCTATGATAACAAGAAAGCTCACTGTACTGCCAATAGGAGGGTGCATTGAATATCTGCTCCCAAGACACAAAATTACATTTCAAAAACAACAATACAGGCCTGATCACTGCACTTAATTTGAATTGTGATGTTTCTGTCATATACAATTCTAGTAGTCATGTAGTAAGTAAACAGACCTAACTGAAATATTTAATGCATTATCTAAATATTTTTGCCCTTTGAGCAATGCACAAAACAATATTAGGAAGGTTCTGCCACCCAGTGGCTCTTTATGACAGTTGAGACTTAAACTAATGGTTCTAATGTGAGAATTATTATTAAAAAACCTGCTCTTTAATTTTGATTAAATATCAAGTCTTCGTCAATCTATAATTTTCACAGTTACTTCTTGTACCATGAAAGAATGTTGCCTTATTAGATTTTAGCTGGATTAAAAAGCAGTGAAAATCTCCATATGAGGAATGGATTGTGTCTTAGCACAAGATTTCAGTAAGCAAGAAAAACTGAGTATTATCCATTTCTGTGCTAAAGAATCTTTAAAGGTGAATAAGGTTTTTGCCAGCTTAATATACAGACAACTATAAGTAAACCATTTGTTGTTTGATTCCCTTGAAGAGAGTAATCAAGATTGTGGCTCTGATGGGAACACCTGTTTGGCCAAACAATGGAAGACAGAGGGAGTGATTGGGAATCCTGTTTGGAATCATCAAACATTAATTCTGATACTTCATTTGGTGCTGACAGTGGCATAGAAATATTTACAAATAAATGCTTCCAACTCATAAGTCATAATAAAATTTCACGATATTACTGTTTTTACTGTATTTTTAATCAAATGAATTCAGCCTCGGTGTGCATAATAGACTTCTTTTAAAAACATTCTAAAAATCTTTTGAACAGCAGTGTATATGCATGGAAGGATAAAAATTTACCAAGAGTGACAAAAAAGCAGAAGAGACTATCCACTATTTTGTCCATTATGCCATCCATGTCTGTGTCCATGATATCTGGTTTATTGATTGCTGAGGGCACAGAACAGTATTACCATTAATAACATTCAGATTACAAATGAAACAAACATGAAGTCAACACTTCAAGCCACTCTAAGAGCTTACCATGGTAGGAGATGTGTTCTTTGTTTTGATTAGAGAGAATGAACATATCATCTTCAAGTGTGATGAAGTTCAAATATTGATCAAATACCTGAGGAGGAACAGAACAGTCTAATATTTGAACTGTATAATGAAAATGAGCAGTATGTTATTTGCCTTCCTTCAGGAATTCACAGAGCTCGTCTGTTTAGTAAAAACAAGCTTTAATAAAAAAAAAAAAAAAAAAAAAGATTGTTTAATTAAATGCTCTAGCAAACTGAATCAAATTTACAACTAACACTCACAATGAACAAACGTGTTTGACTTACTTTGGTCACCTGGTTTACAGCATTAGCTGCTAGAGCAGCACTTGCTATGTCCTCCAATTTGCTTCTAGAGACTGCAGAGATGAAGTTCAAATAGTAGGACTCATATAGTTGGTTTCGGAGGTCCTGTAAAAGTGAAAATAACTTTTAGTTTTGAAATAGTGTGATCTTCACAAATTGTCCTGGAACGGGACTGACGAAAAGACTGACTGACTAATTATTCAGTGAACATATTTACTTGACATATCCTGTCAATGTTCTCCTCTGTGGGCATTACAAAGAAAATGGCAGGAACATCTGGAATGGGGTCGCGATCTGAGTGCAACAAGCTAGAGGAAACAAACAAAAAGTAAACATGTAAAACATTCAAAGCAATCTAATCAAATCAAATCTTTTTTTTTTTGTTATAAATATATAAATAAATAAAACCTTAGAGGTCCTTACAGGTGCAGAGTGATGCCCATGTCCCGTAACTCTTTCACAGACAGCAGGGGAGATATGATGTCTTGGCCAAAGCGATCGTAAATAAGAACCTAACAAGAATAACAAAGGGTAAATATTCAAGCAAATTATAACTATAAAAGCATCCCTGAGCCACATTTAAAAAAGCAATGGATAGCGGAAGGGTAAACCCATAGGTGTGTGTTGCGTACCCTTACCTTCCATACCGGCTCAGCTGATGTGTTTTTCAAAGGTGGGGCATTGAAGTTGAGCATTCGCTTCAAAGCAGCTGAGGAGAGAAACATCATAGAAATATAATACATAAACATTTTTAATAACTTCTATTACTACTTAAAATCATTTATTATCACCAGGAGACTAATTTACTTGATTGTGTTTCAAAAGACTTGCGTGTATGCATAAAAAAGTCATTTTATACAAAAATTAATAATAAATTCATTAATTAATTGAAGCCTACATGCGTTGGCAGGATTTGACCAGAAAAAGTCCTACATTTTTTTCATATCGTAAGATTATGTATTTTATACAGTATCCACACGCTATCCATTTTTAATCAACAAATTATCTATTGCACATTCATTAAAAAACGAATATGATTTATCACAGTAGCAACTACACAGCAAGTGTCAATATCCATTAATGGCAATGTCAGCAACAGAAAACCTGAATATTAAGCTCAGCATAAAACAGTATCCATATAACATAATAATCATCACTATTTTGTGCCGCTAAATATTAGGAATAAGAATGTACGTTAAGTCACTTTAGCTAGCATGTGAATTCATATCGTGGGTTGCTTATGACAGGTCTCTGGGATATTGATAGCCGTATATTTCATAAACGAGCTGGTTGGCTATATGTAGTCATCAAATCGCAAGTGCTTCTTTATCTAGTCAAGCAGGATAATAGTCCATTCATCTGATGTTATCCAGCTGCTAAATGAACAACACGGTTAGCATCCTCAGCTACACTGACAGGACTGTACAATTTCAGCTGTTATGAATTCGGTATTATTGCATGTATTTTAAATAAAAACGTTTTAAAAACCGCGTGAAAATCACTATTATCAAGTATATTAACAGTATCGAGAGTTTCGATATAAATTCCATCTTATGAACAAACCTGTCTGTTTCTCCCGGACGGAGGCCGCCATCTTTACTGTTTATGCAGTGACGACGACTGTGAGGGTGACGTGCCAAGCGCTGTCTGCGTACAATTCAATTCAATTCACTCAATATCCCCAATAAATAGACCATTGTAGATCATTAGGTAAATCTACGCTGTAAACATACTGAAATATCCAGTCAGGAGAAGAGTTTTTTTTTAAATGTCCTGCATAACTGAGAACTGACACACTGTGTAATCCAAGTGTTTCTTGAAGAGCTCATAGGAGGGTAGTATTGGCAGAATGAGATGATTGGCATCACAGTGGCTCTGAGGAAAGGCACATGAGGTGTCTGATGAGCTGAAGAATGAAATAGAGGGAGTGGGATGGAATCCAATGGATGGAACCAAATCTGTAGCAGTGGCAAATGTTAGGAGGTCCGTGAGTGATGCTGCACACCGACCCTCTGAAACACAAGCCAAAGGTTAAGGCTGCGTTTACACTGCAAGTTTTAAAGGGTTAGTTCACTGCAAAATGAAAATTATGCTGCGTTTTACTCACCCTCGCGATTAAAATCCACATTTGGAAGTGGCTCAGATCTGATGCAAAAAAATCGGATCTCGTGCGGGTTTTTGTGTTTACACGTGTGCAACAAATTCCGATCTGTGTCAGATGTGAGCGAAAGATCTGATTTTTTGTGCCAGTGTAAACGCAGCCTAAGATCATGCAAATAACAGCTTGTTTTCTAACATATCTTAATGTCATATTTTATTATTAGAAATTTTAGAATATACACAAGAATCTAAATTCTTCCAACACACAATATGAATTCTGAAGCGAACATACCGTCACACTCATGCAGATACTTTTTCCAAAAGTTTAATGTTGTGTTCTCTTTTTCTTCTGAAAACTGGACTGTAAAGAGCTCCATGACTGATTCAGCTGTGAGCCTTTCCACAGGCCCACAAAAGACTGAATGGAAAGCCTCTGTACACATCTGAACCTGCTCAAACAGTCCTAGTGTCCTCAAACCTTCACGAAATCTGAGAAAGGTGATATGAACTTGAATGAGCATTTACTACAGTGAGAAAAGTGAGAAAAAAAGCATTAAACTTATCTGCTGTATACACTACCATTCAAAAGTTTTCTTAGTAAGATTTTTTTTTATAGATACTTTAATTTAGATGCTTTAAATTGATCACAAAAGTGACAGTAAAGACTTTTACGTTGTTACAAATTTTTTTATTTCAGATAAATACTGTTCTTTTGAACTTTTCTATTCATCAAAGAATCCTGAAAAAAAAATGCATCACGTTTCAGCAAAAATATTTTCAGCAGCACAACTGCTTTCAGTTTTGATAACAGTAAGAAATGTTTCTTGAGCACCAAGTCAGCATATTGGAATGATTTCTGATGGAACATGTGACACTGAAGACTGGTATAATGCTTTTCCACCATAGGAATAAGTTAACAGATGCAATTGATTAGGAAAGTACCTTTTACTGATGAGTGAAGAGTGAAGGTCAGAGATGTTTTTAAACAGCCGCTTCCTCTCTTGCCTTATAGCCAGTGGTGATTCAACATAGTTTGGCAATGACACTGACTCTGGGGGAGAAAAACAATCCATGCATGTAACTTTGGAATAATTCTACACAAGCACATTTTAAACAAAAGTTCAGATAGCTCACTTTTCCCCTCAACAGCAGCTTTACAGTCAGCACAGATCCAGTCGCTTTCGTAAAGCTTAAGGTTGGAACATTTTCGATGAGTTCCCCTAGATCCACACAACTTGCAGCGAACAATTTCAAAATACCTGTAAAGCAAAGGCATTTCTAATTTTAACAATAGTTAGAATCCTTTTCAAAAACAAACCGATTGAAATTTCATGATTTCAGAATGACTAAATAAAATGCTCCAATTACCCTGACTGTTTTTTCAAGAAATTAATACTTTTATTTAGCAAGGATGCATTAAATTGATCAAAAGTGACAGCAAAGAAATGTATAACGTTAAGATCTCTATTTCAAATAAAAGCTGTTCTTTTCAACTATCTATTGATCAAAGAATCCTGAAAAAAATCTAGCATGGTTTCCACAACAATATTTAGCAGCAGAACTGTTTTCAACATAATAATATGAAATGTTACTCGAGCACCAAATAAAATAAAAAACCTACCCAAACTTTAAAATTTTAGTGTAGATTTTACATTTCCATCTCATCTTCCAATGACAACCATTACATTTTGCATATCACAAGAGAGAGACACTTACGGAAACAAGTCGGTGAACTGGAAAATAAACTCCTGCTCTAACCCACAGGGCATGTGGACCATTTGCCGACATCTTTTGATGGAGCACCCCACCGAAGCACCAACCTTTTTGCAGTGCATGCACCTCTGCAAGTCAAAAAGTAATAGTTGTAGTCTCAGAAACATTTCTACAGCGTTAAACAGAACATGCCAAGGGTCAAATGTGTACTTACCAGCCTCGAAGATCTGCGGATCTCCTTTTTTATGTCATCCACAAGAAAACCATGAACGTCTTCATCTTCCTCCCCTCTCTGACATATTCCACTAGACATCAGCTGTAAAATTAGTCTGAAGAATAACTGACTAGTACCTTTACGCTTGAATTATTATTTTGGTGACACTTTTACAATATATGTACATAATAGTTTAAAATAAAGCTGTTAACTAGATCTAGAAGCTGAAAGCTTTCAAGTTTGAGAACAGCCTTGCATAAAAAAAAACAATATCCAAGGTGTGATATTTTGTATTCCCATAAGAGATTCATGACTGGCAGAACATTTAGAAATAACCAACTATATCTGTGATATTCTAGGGTAGATTTATGATCATCAAACTGGGGTCTGGCAGGAGTAAAATTTTAAAAGGACCAAAAAATGTTTTTATTTAATAATAAATAAATAAATATATATATATATATAATTGATCAAATATAATATTATTTATGTCTAAATGTTCATCTCTCTTGCCTTCCAACCTTCTTGTGCTCTAGAACAGCTGAACATAATGTATGATCTATGGCATCATAAGATATCTTAATATACTTTAGGGTAGGATTTCACAACAATATTTTTTGAAACCGAGAAACTAGAAAGGGACTCCAAAATGAAATTCATTGCACAAATACACATCATCAACGTCTGAAAACGTCTGGCTCACCAAACAGAAATAGTGGACTGTCACTTTGTGCTGTTGGAGGGTGATCTTCTCTCCATACTTCTCTGGAATGTTGTCACATCTCTTACAAAGACTACAGACTAAAGGACAGACACAGATATGTAATTCATTTGACGATATTGTGTTAAAAATGGTATTAGGTGCATATCTGATTATTGGTATTATCGTAACGAAGAAATTCGTTGCTACATAAACCTGTAGGAAAAGCAACTTACTGAGGTCTTTGTCGTCGTGAATCTGTTTTATTTCGGTAACGTTAGTCTCCTCTTTCATCGCTTTCATTGTTGTGTATTACACAGCGAGCATAAAGTAAAAACGAAATTTTAAAATGGTGATATCAATAGTTGTAATAGTAGCAACAGCTCTAGCGGTCTGTTGCTACTGTCTTGGCAAGTTCAGTAACGTTAACTGCCATTGGACTCACTTTATCACGAGCTTTTTCTAGTCTTCTCACTCCCCAAGACAAAAGCACATAGTCCTTAAGTAACCGGGGTTTTTAATAAAATTATATTACACTCATTATTGTAAGAGTATAAATCGCATGAACATTCAAAATTCCCTCTGCCAGGGAAAATCCGCCTGTGCGCTTGCTTTTGGTTGGTTGAATTCAAACCAAAACAGAGATTTTGCTGTGGGAGGGGCTCTGGGGTCACGCACCACGCAACTTCCGTTTATTATACAAAATAAAAGTATACGAATTTTATGACAAAATAAGATGTGAAGTTTGATTTTGTGAAAATAAGCTGTATGAGGTAGAAGTCCCACACTGACAGTAAGTGATACTTTTACATTGTGTCTTTATATTTGATATTTCATATCAATTGTTTAAAGCTACATCACAGTACCCACAAGTTTTTATAATATTTATAAAAAACATGATGTAACACCTGATCTGTATACAAGAAATGCAACAGTAGTGCTGCCTTAAATTTTGCAGGTGCCATGACAGAGTATATATTTAATTATTATTATTATTATTATTATTATTATTATTATTATTATTATTATTATTATTATTATTATTATTATTATTATTATTATTATTATTATTATTATTATTATTATTATTATTATTATTATTATTATTATTATTATTATTATTATTATTATTATTTGTATTTGACTGTGTAATAACGTAATCATTTATAATTTCATTTTATTAAATTTTATATTTTAATACATTTTATGTTTCTATATTCAAAATTGTAACATTTAAAGCATTAATTTTACATACTTATTTCTGCTATAATTTCCCTGTAAATGCATTTATTCTTCCTCTGCAGAACTGACCAGTGTTTGTAAAAAGCAAAGGCAGCATATTTTTGTGTTTAATGTGCTGCTTCAGCTGCAGCTTTTTGCTGCCTTTGCAAAGTAAAGTTAACTTATAGACCACTGTGCATAAAATGGCTCCAAATGTTTTGGTTTAATTGGTGTAAAGCATTACATTGCACTTGGTGTACATTGACGTCTGTGCATTGATTAAATACTACTGAAGAATTAATGGTTTGAAATAACATGTACCCAATATGCAATTCTGAAAAAAAGTATGTGAAAAGGCCACTGGGTTTATCTACTCAGATCCCTACATTTCATGAAACAGAGAAAGCTTCTGACAGTTTTCCCACGTGATTTTATATTTTCTGTATGCTGTATGTAACCATCACTTTTTACCTAACTGTGTAGTGGTTGCTGTATAATAATAATAATAATAATCTATAGTTATTTTTTTATTATTATTATTATTATTCACATTCTGCAACTTGTTACCTTCAAAAACAGCTTTGGAGATAAACTAACTGTTAAAGGATCACCTCCTGTACACTGCCTTCCTCCCCTGCCCTAAACAACAATCTAACCTTCACAAGATGTTGAAATTCTTACTTCAAACTCTAATGCATTTGAGAGGTGAGAAAAAAACTGATTGTTTCACACAGCACCTGCTTTCCTTGAAAGGGTTAAACCTAAGAGAATGTGCCTAGTTGATTCTTCATCAGTATCACTAACCAGTAGGTGGTAGCAGATCAAAACAGTTCAAAGTGCTGTCTGCTTGATAACTGCCTCCCCTTCCCAAATCTGACACAGATCTTCAGGAGATCAGCTTATGATATTTGTATGCTAATTTGACACATCCACACTAGAACAAAGCATAGTTTTTAGAACCATCTTAAAAGGACAAAAGGTTCAATATTAATTGCGTACATTTTCGTAAAGCTTTCCCACTTTTAGTAGTGTGTGCCAATATGCTTACAATGTTTAGCATATTGATTTGTAACAATGAGCAATTAGTAATGAATTGTAATTACTTTTGCAATCATTTATGTATTAATTGTAAATTATTTTTTTGACTTTTTCAGACTTGCTATAAAGCACTGGCAAATGGCAAGTCTCGGACCGGTTAGCCGCAGTTTTTTTTTTATAAAAAAAGAAGATAAATAGATAAAGTAGAATTAGAATAGAATAGAAAGTGCTATAGAGTTAGAGGGTCAAATAAAGATGGAACAGATGTGTTTCAGTCGTTTTTTGAAGATGGCTATGAACTGATTAATACATCTGGTGCCCTGGAGGGAATACTGTTTTAGAGATTTCTCTACCACTCACTCCAGCAAGTGCACACAAAATCTGCATTCAGTCACTGGATGCACCTGTAGCTAGTGTTTTTTTTTTATAAAAAAAGAAGATAAATAGATAAAGTAGAATTAGAATAGAATAGAAAGTGCTATAGAGTTAGAGGGTCAAATAAAGATGGAACAGATGTGTTTCAGTCGTTTTTTGAAGATGGCTATGAACTGATTAATACATCTGGTGCCCTGGAGGGAATACTGTTTTTCGAGATTTCTCTACCACTCCAGCAAGTGTGCACAGAATCCGCATTCAGTCACTGGATGCATCATAAACTAACCTGCGCTGCCCTGGCTGGCAGTCACAACTTATTCATAGACTCACTGGAGTGGATTAAAACAAATAAGTGCTTGGCTGCATGTCTGTTTCTCCTGCCTGAGCAGATCCAGGAGACCCAGATCAAGGTCTTGACTTGCCTATTGTTTGACAACACTTGCGATGGGGTCCTTGAATGCTCTTTTGACTTGAGATATATGATTACAGGCCATGCTTTTCCTCCCTTCACTAATTCCAGAGGGAGTCCAAACAACTCCCTCAATTTTCGACGCAGTGCTTCCGACTCACTGGAGTGGATTAAAACAAATAAGTGCTGGGCTGCATGTCTGTTTCTCCTGCCTGGGCAGATCCAGGAGACCCAGATCAAGGTCTTGACTTGCCTATTGTTTGACAACACTTGCGAGGGGGTCCTTGAATGCTCTTTTGACTTGAGATATAAGATTACAGGCCATGCTTTTCCTCCCTTCACTAAATTCCAGAGGGAGTCCAAACAACTCCCTCAATTTTCGATGTAGCACTTCCTCCCCCAGTGTCCAATGCTTCTCAGAGTTTGCATTATGCAAGCTAATTTAGCCAATTATGCACAGGTGTGATGCTAATTCTCCTCTCACATACCGAGCTCCCGACAGTAAAAATAGTATAATTATACAGCTGTTCCCGTGTTTTCCTTCCCAGCCACTGCAACAGCCTCTGTCTCACAAAAAACAGCGTTTCACTAAAGTCTTATCTTGAAGAATCTACCACGACTTTTAATCCTTTCAACTCAACTGTTCATTGTTGTACTTTGTGAAGCAGGTGTGAGACTGTATCACACTCCATATGAAATGTAACATTGGATATTATTGCACAAGCACAGACTAACTTGGAGTCTACATAGCCTACAAATTGCTCCATTTGTCAATTGAGAAAAACACGTTTTCTTGTTTTTTGCCGGCAGTTTTGCCAATTATGTCTGGAATGTCACAGACATAGGTTTGTTATTACATACACTCTTAAAAAAGGTTCATTTATGGTTCTATGAAGAACCTTTAACATCCATGGAACCTGTCCATTGCACAAAAGGTTCTTTGTAGTGGAAAAGGGTTCTTTAGATTATTAAAATGTTCTTCACTTTAAAGGTGGGGTAAGCGGCGGAACAAACAAAGGCATAAGGCAAGAAGTAGGACCCGTGTAAATATCGGATCAGCTTTCCAGCGCTGGAGAGAACTCGAGGAGCGGAAGGCCTGCGATCGGACGCCGAGGTTGCTTTGTTTCTTCTCGATAGGTGAACAACACCGTGTCTGCGCCGCAACAGCGAAAGTCTGTCTAGTACACTGGAACACTGCAACAAAGCGAAATTGAAAATCATTTGAAATTTGTGTCAATACGTCATGAATAGCACGCAGCAGCAGTTTTCTGTCGGGGATTTTTAGTGTAGACAGCATCACTGATTATAATGAGTTCTATAGTATTCCGGTGTAGACACGGTGTAACATTGGTTTTGCTTTGTTTCACAGAACTAATCGTTGCCTGGGTTGCGTACGTATGTGTGGGGCGGAGCTATCAAAATAGGGGCTAGACCATTTTTGGGTAGGGGCGTATTTGTTTTGGTGATTTCAAATGTCAACATTGGCTACCAGAAATCGCTTACCCCACCTTTAAAAAAAAAAATTCTTTTAAGCCCTGTTCACTAAAAATTTACTTTAGGGAACCCAATATGGTTTTTCAATGGCATCACTGCAAAACCCCCTTTTTTTTAAGAGGTGTGAACAGGAAAATGTGTAAATAGTAGTTCAGTCTAAATTCATAGTTGCAGAGGAGGGTGGAAAAGCAGTAATTTATAAAACAATGTTTGATGAGAGTTTTAACCCGAGCGTACGAATGTTCATCTCGAATGTTTCTGAGGAAGTGTAATGCATTCCTGATCCCACACTTCCACACTCCTCTGAAAAGTCCCCAGATTCTCTCTCTTTTTTCTTTTTTTTTGATAGTGATAGAGCTTACACCTGGGACAGCAACCTTTTCATTATATTCTGTCACTTTTGATATGTTTAATCAACATGACCACCAACCCATATGAAGAGCTCTTCTCCAGACAAAAAGAAAAAAAAACGGATATTGTTATCAGGGTATGTAAGAGATCCCACACTTCCACACTCCTCTGAAAAGTCCCCAGATTCTCTCTCTTTTTTCTTTTTTTTTGATAGTGATAGAGCTTACACCTGGGACAGCAACCTTTTCATTATATTCTGTCACTTTTGATATGTTTAATCGACATGACCACCAACCCATATGAAGAGCTCTTCTCCAGACAAAAAGAAAAAAAAAAGGATATTGTTATCAGGGTATGTAAGAGCTGCAAACCAGTCCTTGAAATTGATGGCTGAGGAACACAGTCCCCTGAAAGAAGAAAAATTAAATGATCATGGTCCCTAGTTAGCTGCCCTTTCAATATATACAAATTTCTGTAGGGAATAGGATTGACTCTGACCCCACTCTTGAGGCCTCCTGGTGCACATGTATAACAGCTTGTGATATCTCATCTCGTGTGGCTTGAGGAAATTGCTGTCTACACAGGCCAAATAATTCTGTCTCTTTGACCTGTGGTTCATGGAAGTCTAATTATCAGCTTCAGCGCTGGGCTCGCCGGGGTCCCCGAGCCGCCTTAAAGGCCCTGGGCTGTCACCCCTCCCAAAATG